TGCAACTGTCTCATGTAAGAATTAACACTTGAAACCATCCAAGCATAGTCTCTACTGTACAAATAAATGCATGCAAGTTGAGTGCCAAATGATTTACAATTGTAAATATACTCAATCTGTTCTGACAGGTTGTCAATGCCACTCAGTTAAGAGACTATCCACTGTTCTTTTTAGATTGAGCTAACCCTGCCGGAGGAATAAGCAACTGTCTCATGTAAGAATTAACACTTGAAACCATCCAAGCATAGTCTCTACTGTACAAATAAATGCATGCAAGTTGAGTGCCAAATGATTTACAATTGTAAATATACTCAATCTGTTCTGACAGGTTGTCAATGCCACTCAGTTAAGAGACTATCCACTGTTCTTTTTAGATTGAGCTAACCCTGCCGGAGGAATAATCATGCAGAGTGGTTTCACTATTTGGGGTACATTGTAAGCTATGTAAAAAGTGTGGGTCATTAAATGTTTGTCTGCAGAAAATAATAAAAAACAAGGATGAAATGGGTGTTTTCATAGCATGTAATGAGACCTCCTTTCTTCTGTTATAGTTTCTTTCCCCCAGCGACCAAAGATTTGACCCCTGACAAAGCCTGACCCGTCAGAACACAGTTCAAGATGGACACCGGTGTTATTGAAGGTGGTTTAAATGTCACACTTACCATTCGACTACTTATGCATGGAAAGGTACCTGCCATATCATCTTGTTATGCCTCTGGTGAAACTGGGTTGTAGCAAATACCTTGGAAACACTTTTTGTCCGATCAGATCAGTTGTTCGTAGGAGCCTTTTGAAACCCAAGGGGAGTTGAGTAATTTAAATTTAGCCAGCCCTAATGTTGCTTTGAAGGAGTTCATCATTAGAAGCCATTATCATCTTGATGCTGGGAACTTCTTGGCATGTGGCCTGTTGATGGTAAAAGGATGTCTTGTGACCATTAGAGCAGTTTTTGAAATCTCCATATCAGTAAAGAAACTAGCAGAACTTTGATGTGGATCTGTTTTATAAACTCACAAGGTACCCGATGTAAACACTTTGCGTATTGGGAAGGGGGTGAGCTTCAAGCACTATGAATTGCTGTAAATTTATTTTCTTTTTATACTGAGACTCCTAGACCACAAAATCAGAAGGGGGCCGTTATGTTAATCTGGTCTGTTTGAAACCTGATCCCCACTTAAAAATTGCTGGTGATGGGGTTGTTGTCCTTGTCATCTTCCTCGTGTTGTCCCCTCCCCCCATTTAATCAGCTAACTGGTTAAACATAAGGTTAAACCTGTTTAACTGGGATTTTACATCCCTAGTGATTAGATACACGAGAGCTGGATAGAACGGAGTATCAAATTAAAGACTAAATTGTTAAGCTTAACACTGATCTTGATCAGTAAGGGAAAACTTATGCTGTTAGGTTGTACCCATTCTGTCTCAGAAACCATGTCCTCTAATCTTTGAGAACATTCATTGATGCTTTTCTTCTCATTGCAGGAGGTTGGGAGCATCATTGGGAAGGTAAATTACTAAAGTTACTTCTTGATTCTAGTTCATTCTTTAGCCAGTCAGTTCAGCAACACTAACTGTCCATCTCTCTTATCCCCTATAGAAAGGAGAATCTGTGAAGAAGATGCGCGAGGAGGTAGGTTCTGGGGAGCAGGTGGCCATGAACTGGTCTAAAATCAGTTGAGACGTTTGGGTGACATAAACCAGATCTTGGGGTGGGAGGGCGGGGCCTTGTAGGCAGTGTAATTCCTCAATAGCAAACAAGCAGCTCATTGTGGGCTGAAAGGCTTCTGGGAAATGTAGTTCTCTTGGCCAATCTCAGCAGTGATCTAGCAATAGGAATTAAGATGGCTGCCCAAAAGAACAGAATGCAAGTGAGGGCTGGATTTCATGGTATTTATGATGTGGTGGCATTTAGGAGGTCCCATTGTGCTGGCTACTCCACACTGGCAATGGGATTTGTTGTAATACTACCCGCTGCCCTGCCAGCCCAGTTGGGAATTGTGGTGTCAGTCCATTAGTGCAGCACCTCTGCGTTTGCTTTCTTCCTCTAGAGCGGGGCCCGCATTAACATCTCGGAAGGGAACTGCCCAGAGCGGATCATCACTCTCGCTGGACCGACCAATGCCATCTTCAAAGCATTTGCTATGATCATTGACAAACTGGAAGAGGTGCATGTCTTTTCACTGCTCTTCAGTTCAAAAGTGGGCCCTGGGAATGATCAGGAAGCTGCCTTCTTGCTTTTATGCTGGCCGGAGTGAGACTAAGAATAAAACCAGACACAGTCTCAGGGTGTCTGGAACACTTGGGCTGAATCGGATGCAGCGTAGCTGAGGTGAAGTCTGGTGTGGGGAAATGATGTATCCCTGCTGTGGTGATGCATGGCAAGAGGGAGGCATGGTTCGTCTGAGGGTTGCCTGGTCAGCTCCTGGCACAGGCTGCCCTGACTTGCGGCTTTGGTGCACTTGGCCCCTTCTAAGGTGCAGGATTGCAAAGGTGTAAAAACATGCCCCATCTCCAAAATCCCCAGCGTGAGCTGATGGGGTTCCAGATGCCTGCTGTGCTGACAAGGGACAGTTACATGCAGCCCCCTACCGGGGTAGCAGCATCAGGGGAGAAACAATGAACTCACATGTGCCCTGTGGCCCTCTTGTGCCAGCATGCCTAATGCTCAGTGACCAGAGCAGTACTGAATTGGGCCAGTGGGCTGAGGCACGGGTTCTAGACAATGCCTTTAATTTCCCCATCCACATGGGGAATCCATTTTATGCAGAGGCATGTGTGGATGGGCACCACCAGTAGACACACATGTTAGCTGTGGGTGCTCTGCTTATCAGCTGGATGGCACCTAAATCTCTTGGCTGGCTGCCCGAGGGCTCCGCTTACAGGGGACGCTGGTGGTGGACTTGAGCGATGCATCTTCGGTCCTGTGTGCGAGTTGCCATGCTGGCCTGAGCCTCTGGCCCATGGCTCTTGTGCAGCCAGTCAGGGCTGTGCCCAGGCACTCTGCCACAAGCTGGCGAGCGAACACTCTCCGTGGGTGTCCAGCTTTGTCCTGGGGATGCTGAGCAGTTGGTATTAGTCACACTGAAGGCCGTGGAGTCTGGTGGGCTGCCTGGTCAATCAGCTGTTTCAGAAAGGGTAACCCTCCCCCCTTGGAGTAGATCTAGTGACCTGCTGTCCCTCAAGGCCTCTTCTGGCACCAGGTGACAGCTGTGCCCTGGAGCAAAAGGCTTTGATGGCTCATGTGACAGCAAGCTGACTTAAAAAAAAAAAAAAAAAGCCAATGTCAGTGCTTAACTATTTCTCTAGGCTTTGTCGAGTGCTGCCCTTGCTAGGGCTCTGTGCTTGGGCTGTGACTTTCACTTTTGAGAGCCAGTGCCCAAGCCATGAGCCTGCTGCCAGTAGCCACGTGTCAGTAACCCAAGAACGCTGGCCCTGTGCCTGGGGTAGAGCTCGCTTTACAAAGCCTGAGCTGCTGCCCTTGAGCAGTGGAAATGTCCCACTGTCCCCAGGGTGGGACTATGCCGCTCTGCCGGGCATTGCAGTTGGTCCCACCGTGACAATACGAGGAGCCCCTTGGGTGCAGCTTTGGGGGTCAGAGGGAGCCGACCGCAGTGGCGCTCTAGCCTTGCCATCCTGCAAAGATTCTGGTACCAAACCAAGAACTGAGCTTCCTGACTCGAAGTGAGCTCTGGGTACAGCTTCGGCCTCCTTCCTGCTTTCTTGGATGGCTCCCCTTGGCCTGCTATCCGCCAAAACCACTTTCATATGGAAGAGCTGTTCTGGGACTGGTGAGCTCACCCCAGAGCCGCCTTGTGTAGCTGCATCTGCATGGGGCGCTGCAGCAGCCACGCTAGTGTAATCCCCAGTAACTCTTGAGCTGTAAAGCTCTTGATTGTAACTAGCTGGGAGCCCACACGTGCATGAGGAGTCCTCCTCGAGTTCCTCCAAGCAGCTGATCTCCAGCTAATAGCAAGAGTGCTTTAGGGCTGACTTGGAAACTACCTGGTATAAAGGCACAAGTGTATTCTTGGCTTGTGCTGTTGTCTGGGGCCCTTGTGTAGCCGAGGAGAATGACGTTCCCATTGGGGGGGTGGGGGTGTGTGTGAGAGTGACAGGGCAATATTCAGCCGCTACGTAAGGCTATACCTCGAGACTAAGCAGTGTCTCTAAGGCTGGATGGCACCACCCTTACCTAGTCTGACGTACCCCACCCACTCTGGCAGTAGGCTCATGACCACTTGTTGAGTTACTGAAGCCCTCAATGCTTGACTTAAAGACTTCAGGTTAGTCTTGTCGCCTACTTGAGCTGAAATTGGCAAGTGACTCATGCTGCAGAGGAAAAGGCCCAGATTCTCTGCCAATCTGACCTGGGGAGAAATTCCCCCCGGACAGCAGTCAGTTATGCCTGAGCATGTGGGCAAGATCACTAGCGGGACATGGGGTAAAAGCCACCTGAGGGCCTTGCTAACTGCCTGCAGTGCCATCTGTGAACGCTGTCTCCTTGCACCAGCCTTTCCACGAGCACAGCACGTGTTACGGGTTCAGCCCTAGAGCTTTTCTGATTTGAAGTGTCCTGTTTACACTTCATTATTCTTGTGCCAGCCTTTATCCCTCCCCTTTCCTGGCGTCTTTTCCTCTATTTATAGAGCAATCCTGTCGCCCTCCCTTGCTAAGTCAGTCAAGTTCCTTAGACTTCAAGTCAATTCTGGTCAGAACTTGGATGAGCGATTCCAAGAAGACCTGGGATGCTCTCTGGAGTGCTTGGCTATTGCCAGTGCCTGGTACCTAGAGATCCCCTGGTGCTTCTCGCAAGGGAGGGGCTCTAGGCTGAACTCCAGGCAGGGTTAATTGCCTTGTCTCCTCCGCTGCCCCTGCGCGTTCAATGGGCTCATGGCAGTGAAATGGCTCCTGTGCTGCCCTGCAGGCACGTGAGGGAAGGGCGCTGTCCTGGGCTGTGACTGGGTGGGCAGGCAGACTCCTAGGAAGCTGCAGACCCAAGGGATCTGAGTAACTCCTTGTCATTTCAGGACATCAGCAGCTCCATGACCAACAGCACAGCTGCCAGCAGGCCCCCTGTCACCCTGAGGCTTGTGGTGCCTGCCAGCCAGTGTGGCTCCCTCATTGGAAAAGGAGGCTGCAAGATCAAGGAGATCAGAGAGGTCCGCATCTCTTTTGTGGCTGGGGGCTGCTTTGACGAGGCATTTCAGCCCCACTAGTAGCTGCAATTCCGCCGCAGGAGCTTTCTGTAGGCCCCCTCCCCGTGCCAGGTCGAGTGCTGCATAGTAAAGACCTGGCATCATCCTGCCCTGAAAAGCACCTTGTATTTTTAGTGCTAGTGAAACTGAGACCAATACAGTGGCTGGCGCCAGGCATACTGGAGTCAGGTGCTGTTGGCGGAGCCGCCCCCCGTTCCCGCGTCGTGGGAACCCACCTTTCTAAAGCTTGGAGGGGGAGGATTGGCCTAGCTGGTGTAGGGACATGCAGGACTCCAGTGTTCCAGTTGAGAGAGCTGCCACATGCTTGGTGGATGACTCTAGTGATTCCCTTAACCTCTCTGTGCTCCCCTTTCCCGTGTCCAAAAGGGAGGTGAGGGGATGTTACCCGTGGGAAGCCATGTGCCCCCCCACTGCTGCGAGCTGCCCAGCTGTGAACACCAGAGGGCTAACCCAATTCAGTTCACTGCTCCTCGAGGCCGAGTTGAGTTTGTTTCTGTCTTGGCCTTGGGGTTCTGGTGGCTGCGTAACTCCAGCAGGGACTGTCCCATTGAGGCTGTGGAGAGGGGGTGGGACTGAGAGTGGGGCTGGGAGGCCGTGGGATACCAGAGATGCGAGTGGTGTGCCTGACTCTGTTTCATCTCCCACTTGAAGAGCACAGGGGCACAGGTCCAGGTGGCAGGAGACATGCTGCCCAACTCGACTGAGAGAGCGATCACCATTGCTGGGATACCACAGTCCATCATCGAGTGCGTTAAGCAGATCTGTGTGGTCATGCTGGAGGTGAGCCCCAGGGAGGGGCCGCTGGCTTGCGGTGGGGTGAGGAGGCATGCATGCCGGCAGAGGGGTGTCTCCTGAAATGCCTATTTCACGTCCGTTCCAAGAAGCTTCTCAAAGGGCGAGCTAGAAGCTATTAGCCTTGTCTGTCCATGTGGCCACCCGGCTAATTGAACAGAAACAGACTTGTAATCTCCCTGGCTGCAGAGAATCCGGGGCCTTGTGGCTTCGAAAGCCACACGGGCACCCTTGGCTAAGGCTTTACCGTGGGGTGTGCAAGCTGACGATGAGTTTGTGGAGAAGCTGGTCATGTGGGGTCTCTAGCTTTGCCAGTCAGACAGCATCTCTGAGCTCCTAGCAGGAGTCATGGCTTCTTCGCGCACTCAAGAGCTTCCTGTTCACCAGGCCAGTGCCTAATACCACAGCTGGCTCCCACATGGAGAGGTGCCACAGGACCCAGGGCTGGAAGGGGGGGGGGG